TATATATATATATACATCTTATATCGATATACTATATATACATCTTATATACTATATATAAGATGTATATATTATATATATTCGATATTAAATATTGAATATTAAAATTTAGGATGTTAAATAAAATTTAGGTCACAATTCTATAATAAAATTTACAAAGCATTGCCTTAGATATTTTTTTTAACATCCTTTTGTCTCTAATATCTATTTAATTTTTTTTTTAAAAATATATGTTGGGCCCACTTAGCCCGCGGGCTAGGACCATTTAGCCCGGGACCAAACGGTCCTGATCTCGGTCCATATAAAAAGCCCATTTAGGCCTAGGCCCGTTTGGCTCGTTTAATTTGGGACCGGGCCCGGAACCATTTGGACCAGCTCACTTGTACCGGGCCCGGTAAGTTCCACCTTTACCCAATCTTTTCACTCTAGAACTCTTAATATTTCCTCCTTGCCTTCTTCTTCCATGCTCTCTTCTTTCTTTGATTTTTCCTTATTCTTACTTTTACTGTTTTCTTTTTTTCGTTCTGGTCATGGGATTCATGAAGTAATTTATTTTTACTTTAATGAGATTTTAATGTTAAGATTTGAAATTGGGGTTTTAAGAATACAATTTGCCCAAACAACTAAAAGGCACACGGGATAGTTTTTGAGTACAAGAGGAAACGGGTGAAGGTTGTAAAGAAGTTGCTTCATACTGATCTGTGGGCGGCTCATATTGAGAGGTAATATTAAGATCCATTTTGGGTAATATCAATTTTTCATATGGATTGTCATGAAAAAAGAAAACTATGGATTTTCATATCAATTTTCCAGCAACACATACTGTATGCACAAAGAAGTGGATGGTGACATGGAGTTTGATGCTTTGTTAATTGAAGTATTCTAGCATCTGGTGCACTCAGATTTTGTACCAGATTTTTCCTACATTTCCTACATTTGCACCCTAATTTCATATATTTGTACCAGATTATTTCTTTCTTCATTGTTAATTGAAGTATTCTTTTAATAGTTGTGAATAATTTCAAAAATTTATATGCACTTTTATGCATGCACGTATGATAAATCAGCTTTGGGTGCATTAGGGATGAGGTTTCTATTTAGTGTATTGAGAGGACTCAAATTTTCCAGTATTTTGGTTCCAATTGGCGTGAGGTTAACAGTGGTAGGTTTGTTTGACTCAACCTCCATAATCAACATATCCTTGGCATTCATAACCCCAACTGGATCATTATTCATCAAAACCTCATAAGCGTTTAGAGTACTTAACACCTTTGCACCAGCAGATTGATCACCCTACTGCACCTTGTCGCGACCAGCAGAATTTTGTGTTGCAGCAGTCTTTTTGTACGCTAATGTGGTCCATCCTTTCTCCATATTCTTCTCCCTGTTGTTGCCTAATTTATAGGCATTCAATCTAGCTACTGATGCATCACAATTCCCATCAGAATTGCTACTAGAATTTTCAGCAATTTGAACACTTCCATGTCCAGTGTTTTTAACACATAAGTTGCTTCAGTTGTAATTGCACCAGATTTTTCTGGAGATAGCACCTGTCCAGCTCTTATTTCCCCACCTACATCTTGCACAACAGTAGCTATAACAGATGTTGGTTTTTCAACTAGATCAACTAATGCAGCAAGGTGCTTAGCAACTCCAGCAGTAGCCTCCACCTTACTAGTGAGTGCATTGAGAGGATTCAAGTTCTCCAGTATTTTAGCTCCTACTGTCGTGAGGTTAACAATGGTAGGCTAGAGTGATCCTCTCTCAATCTCCATAATCAGCATATCCATACCCTCAATTAGATCATTATCCATCAAAACCTCGTAAGAGTTCAAGCTACACAAATATTTTGCACTACCATCAATTTGATCACCATGATGCACCTTCTTGCGACCAGCAACACTTTGTTTTACAGCTGTATTTTTACCAGCAATTGTAGTACCATATTCCTCCATATTTTTCTCCTTATTGTTGCCCAAATTTTGTACATTTAATTCTGATTCGTTTTAATTTTCAATTTGTCAAATATTTTTCTGTTTCGAGTATAATTTTTGTTGTTTTGATCAAATAGGACAGGAAGACTTATTTATTGGAAAATATAATTGAAGGTTTTAGGATTCTGTCGATATTACAGGTAAGAAATTTATTTTTATACATTTCAGTACTATTATTCACTTCTTCCACATATAGTAGAAGATTTTGTACGTTTCAATTCATTTTAAGTAGTTTTTGTTCTTTCAAGTTGTTTAGTAATGTGTACGTCTTTAGTCCTAAAATAACTTACATGTCTCTTGACTTTCTTTTCTATCATGATGACTATAGTTTGTTGACTTACTTGTCTTTGAATCTACTTATTATTGTTGGAAGATATGACTATGACTATGCAAATTCATTCTTTATTTTGGGATTTTCATGTTTGGTAGTGTTTATGATTATAGATGGCTTTTGTTGTATGTATTTATTGCTTCATAATTAATATTATGTATTCTAATAATAGAGAACTGATATTTTCTCTTTATATTCTGAAAGGTTCATCAGCTGCACTTGAAAGATAATACTTTTCTATGGATAAATTTTGGATTAGAAAGCCAAGGAACACCACTGAGTATTTGTTTGGTTTAAATCAGTTTTTAGATTTTGCATTTGCTAGTGCTGTTGTAGAAGATAGAATAAAATGTCCTTGTCCTAAATATGGATTCACAAAGTGGCAGGCTAGAGATGTAGCATTCGATCATTTGATATGCAAACCATTCCCTCAAAATTATGTCACTTGGAGTATTCATGGTGAAAGAAATATACTGCCTAATTCTATAAATATTAAGGTTATACAAGATATATTACCTCCTGAAGATCCTGTAGAATTATTGATCAATGAAGCATTTGGGGGCCTAAGGCACGATGGGGTTGATGTAGGTCCGTCACAAGTAGCAGGTGGTGAAGAAAAGTTAAATGATGAGTCTGCTTCAAATGACAAAGACTTTTTTGAATTGCTTAGAGATGGAAGTCAAGAATTGTATGAAGGGTCCAAGTACTCAAAATTAGAATTTTTATTAAAATTGTATCACATAAAGTGTTTGTCTGGGCTAAGTGACAAGGGAATGTCGACGATACTAGATTTGTTGAGGGACGCATTTATATTTGCACGGATTCCTAATTCTTTTTATGAGGCTAAGAAAACCATCAGTAAGCTTTGTCTTGATTATATCATGATAGATGCTTGTCCAAATGATTGCATGTTGTTTTGGGGGAATGATGCTAATGAGAAAACATATAAGTATTGTCACACTTCTAGGTGGAAGCCTAACAAGAAGAGAAATGAAGATCTTGTGTCTGCTACAGGTAAGAAGAAAACCAAGAAGAAAACCAAGAAGCCTGCAAAGATTTTGCATTACTTTCCATTAAAACTAAGGTTGCAGAGATTGTTCATGTGCTCTAAAATAGCAAACTATATGAGATGGCATGCTGAGCATAGTAACAAAGATGGAATCATGAGGCATCCTAGAGATGGTGAGGCATGGAAGAAGTTTTATACAACTTTTCCTGAATTTGCTTTTGATTCTCGGAATGATCGGCTAGGCCTAGCTAGTGATGGCTTCAATCCTTTTGGCACGATGAGTACTAATTATAGAATTTGGCCAGTCATTTTAGTTCCATACAACCTTCCTCCTTGGTTGTGTATGAAACAACCCAATTTTATTCTTTCAATGATCATGCGTGGTCCACGTACGGCGGAAAATAACATAGATGTTTACCTACAATCCCTTATTAAGGAGTTGAATGAGTTGTGGAGTGAAGGTGTCGAAACTTTTGATTCATCAAAGAAAGAGATGTTTAAATTGCGAGATGCTCTTACGTGGACAATTAATAGCTTTCCTGGACTCGATATCTTATCTGGTTGGAACTCACATACTGGTTTAGCATGTCACACTTGTAATTTTGATGCAGAACCTTGTCGGTTTCGCCATAGTAGAAAGTGGTGCTTTATTGGTCATTGCAGAATTTTAGCAAGAAATCATAAATTTAGACTGATGAGGCATCGCTTTGATGGAAATGTGGAGGAAAGAAATCTACCAAAAAAGTTATCCGGATCTGATATTTTGCAACAAGTGAAAGATATTGATGTTACATTTGGAAAACCGGCTAAGTTGAATGAGAGAAGAAAATGATCTAGACAAAGAAATATTGGGCAAGGTGCAACGCAACAATGGAGGAAAAAAAGCATATTCTTTAATCTTACATATTAGGAGTTCAACTCGTTGCGCCACAATTTAAACGTCATGCACATCCAAAAGAATGTGCTTGACAATATTATATATTCTTTGCTTAATGATAAAGACAAGTCAAAAGATAATATTAAGGCACGGAAAGATCTGCAAGATATGGGTATAAGGCATGATCTTTGGCCTGATGAGAATAATAAGTGTCAGCTTGTTATGTTTACCATTCCAAAGGAAAAGAAAGTGGCCTTCCTCACAACTTTAAAGAATATTTCATTGTCGGATGGTTACTCGAGTAATATTTCAGGCAACATCACTACCAACTCCTTCATTTCAAGCCATAAGACGACCAACTCTTTCATTTCAGGCCACAAGACAGCAAGCTCTTTCATTTCAGGCCATGGGGCAGACAACTCCTTCCATTCAGCCGACTCCTTCATTTCAGGAGACATCACTACCAACTCCTTCATTTCAAGCCACAAGACAGCAAACCGCTTCATTTCAGGCGACAACACCGCCGACTCCTTCATTTCAGGCCACGGGACAGACAACTCTTTCATTTCATGCCACGGGACAGACAACTCCTTCATTTCAACCTCCAGTTAATCCCACACCAGCACAAGCAACATCCAATAAGCGTGCTAAACGTGAGTCTTCACATCATTGGACTGTCGATGGAATAGGTAATCATTATCCTTTCATTGATGTATAGGACTTTAGAGTATAATTGTGGGAATTTGTCAATTAATTTCACTTTTCCTCGTTCCTTCTTCTTAATCTGCTGCATCTTTTTTGACTTTGAGAGATTGGTGGTGTGCATTTGGAATGTTTTTGCTCTACTTTGATTAGATACACAGAAACAACAGTAACTCACTTTCTTAAGAGAGTCAAGTTTTCTCAAAGCAAAGTTTGTTAACAGGTGGAGTACTACATAATAGTGAGCAAAAATCCCTTTTTTTTTATTGTGTGTGTTTAGATTTGTACAAAGATGTTCGTTCAGATGCATGCTAGAAATGATAAGAGTGTGTTAATGAAAACACCCACTCTTTATGTTATTAGCTTTGAAAGAGAATTCTATTTTATCTCTCATTTTTATGACAAATTTCATTGTTATTAGCTATTGATGAGAATTCTGTTTTTTCTCTGATTTTTATGAAAGATTTCATTTTTTCATCAAAGCCTGATATGGTAACTTAGAAAATAGAATAGTAACCTGCTATAACCTATTAAATTGAACTGATGGTATAAATTCAGTTTATACAACTTAAGTTCTTTTGGATTGGTGAAATAATCTTATAAAAACTGTTAACAACTATTCACAATACCTGCCTGTTTGGAAAGTTGTTATTTTAAGAAGAAACCTGGAGTGGTGGGGAAGGAGTTCTTATTACTCATAATTTTATACCTTTTATAATCACTCAATGTAGTCTTTTTCATTTGACTAAAAGAGTATAACTTTAGAGTATACTAAGGCATAAGCAATTTGATTATTTTTATTTTTATTTATTAAAGATTCACATGGAGATACCAAAAGGTTCAAATTGAAGACTAGAGATGCATTGAGTTTACCTCGGGGAGAATGTGTTGTGGTGGAGTTTGATTGCTTGGATCAGATTGGCGAAGCACAAGGCCTTCTTGCAGGCGTATGTGGCCTTTTAGAAACTAACTGTACCATATTTCCAATTAGCTTTGATAAATGGTAGGATATGCCTAAGTCATACTTTAGCGACTGCTTTAATAATGTTATAAAGGTATAAGTTCTATATCTTTATAACTATATCTCTATTTTGTCTTTTGTTTTTATATTTGTATATAAAAGACAAATTAACCAAAATTTATTTTTGAATCCTCATTTCTGTTTTATGACCATTGAGGAAGTTGCACGAGAATATGTTTATCGCTCTATTGCAAAGAAGTGGGCTGCAAGTAGGAAAAAGTTGTGGCATGAGTTTAAAGACCCACTTAAAATCAAAGATGAGATTATGGATAATGTTCAGGTAGGTATTACTCAGGGTCAATGGACTTCCTTTGTGAACTACCATTATAAAGAAGAAACTCAGGTATTTTTCTGAAACGTCACATTGAAATGCATAAAAATATGATTATTCATTTATATAATTGACTGAAATATATCTTATTGTTAGAACATGTGTAAAAGAAATGCTGAAAATCGAAAAAAACAAACAGTTCCACACACCGGTGGCTCCAAACCTGATTCTAGAAGGACTGAAATGGTGAAAGATGACACATTATTTACCTTACTTTACTATTTAAATTTTAGATATTGTATCTATTTCTCTTACTTTAATTAAACTATTCTGACTTATTTTTATTTTCATATATAGATGGCTGAGACAGGGAGAAATCCTGGACGAGCACAATTTTATCTTGCTACACATACGAAAAATGATGGATCATATGTAAATGATGAGGCAAAGAAATATGTGTTAGTTACATTCATGATTATTATAAATACAAATAATTTTCATGGAATGATTTATATTCTGAAGATCTCTACAAGTTTTGGTGCAACTTTTGTATTATACTCCATCAGTAGTTATTATTGATACTTGTGCATTTATCATGACTCATTTATCGGTAAAATGTACCTTATGTTATTCATTTAGGAGACTCCAGTTCAATATAGTGCTCCAACATTTGCATTCCATGATTAGCATTAGCTTGGCAAGGTCAGTCATATCTTCATCTGTTTACATGTTCTAAGGTGTACTCACTACGTGCTGATAAGCTTATATTCATGCGATATAGGGAATGATAACATTTTCTAAAGTATGTATGGAAATTGACAACAGACTTGGCAATGTTCAAACAGATCATACTGATCACCTTAACACTTTACTGGTTGCGTCTGCCATATGATAAGCATGAGAACATATGGCATGCCCAGCCTATGGCATGCGCAGTAATCTGATTGCACCTTATGGCAGGAAATAGATAATTATTGTGAAGCGTAGTAATAACCGATTTATAATGTTGGCTCAGATCTTTTTGATGTGTATTGTGTTTAGGAAACAATTGAGCTAGCAGTGAGTGAAAGTACAGTGGATGAGTCTGGAATTTCTCCAAATGATGTTGTTGGTAAGGTGCTAGGCAAAGAGCATTCTGAAAGGGTGAGATGTTTGGAATTAGGAGCTACTTCAAGCAATACTTTCAGAGAGACAAATCTTCGTCTTGGTAATATTAGAATTGTGAGTAATAATGTTGGATGTTCTTTTTTCTGGATGCCAAGAGAAGTACAATCAATTGATGAGTACTCTCAAAGCATACATGATAATGAAGGAAGGGTCAATACCATAACAATTTGCTGGGATCTTTGCTTCTCCTTCTACAACGATAAATGCTAAGTTCTTTTATTTTTGGTGTATTGTGCAATTTTATTTTTCATTTGTAAAGTGTTGAGAGTCACTATTATGTGCGACTATGAAGTTTTGGACGTGATATTGATCTCTTTAAATATCTTTGCTTTTGATTTTGGTGGAAGTTTTTATAAAAGAAAAAGAATCATGATGATAAGAGACTAGTGATGATGTTTATGATTCTGAAAGATCACATTAATGTCTTCCTTCATGTGTGTATGTCTAATAAGAACGAATGAGTTGCTCCAGTTAGAATCATTCTGTTGAAAGTGTCTCTGGTTTATTAGTGGCCAAACTTGGAATGTTTGCTGGGCAAAACTTGCCTAATATTTTGTCTATAGTGAGATATAGATCTTAGTATCTCATGATCTTCATCCACTTTTCATTGACCACTAAGTGAAAGACTTTCTATTTCAATTTCTACTTGTCCCCTGCTCCCCCCCCCCCCCC